TTGATTTTTCCGTACATTTCTGCCATATGTACATTAACTGACAGTCACCACTGATAAGCTACCACTAAATATTGTAGAAACTTAATTTCCTGTTAAGTTGCTTTGCAACGATTTGTATCGTGAAAATAAATACAAATAAACTTGAAATGAATTGAATTGAATGTTTAAAAAGAGGTGAAAACAATACTGTACATGGAATGCAAAAAATAAATAAAATAATAATAATAATTTTAAATAATAGTAAATAAATAAATTTGTACATTGCAATGTTATTTTAGTATCATTGAGAGGCTATACTAGTTTTAGTAACATTTTGAATCGATTTTCTATTTTAATTTTAATTTTAGTTAAAGTGATAGTAATTTTGTTGTTTTTTGTCTATATAGTTTTTAATATTCAGTTTTAGTTATTTTAGTAGAGTAAGTTGAACCAAATTAAAATGAGAAGTGTTGCCTTAGCATCTAACTGAAACAGGTTTGTTATATTTTATTTTATTTCCATTGTTAGCGTTTATTTTATCTCAAGTAACTTTTTTTATGGTTTTAATATTAGTTTTAGTTAGCTATAATTACCCTGCTAAACTGGCATGACTTTCTCTTGAGATTTTGCTCGTTAAACACTGATGTTAAGGGTTGTGCCGCTGATTTATTCCCTGATGTATTGAGAGTTGTGGGAATCCGTGGACTAATACATGCTGTCTGTATCTCAAGTGGGATTCTTGCGTCTAAATGTGTAAATATTGACGTAATGACAGATGCGTTTGCCTCGGAGCTGTTATTCTGATAATGTAGCTTACAGACTGGCATCGTTAATGGAGTCTTTGTTTAGTCTTTTTATATTTTCATAATCAGTCCTTGACTCACTCAGCAGAACCTGGAACAATGAATGCTGTTTATTTTCCAGCGAGTAATTGGTGTGAGGAAAGTGGGTCATGTGTCGTCCTGTGTGTGTGTGTTTGTGGCAGGTTTCGGCTAACATCGCTCTGGAGGCGCTGGCGCTCCGGCCTGACGCTCTCATGGGTTTATTGTGTACGGTGATGCAGCGGGCTCCTCTGCTGCCCCCGGTGGCCAATGCGGGTCACAGCAGCGCCGCATCCGAGCACAACACCCTCCTCAACTTCACATGCCACACGGTTAACATCTCCGGGTCACCCATGGGTCAGATAAACCAGGTGAGGCTCGTCACAAACCGTCCGATGTGTCCAAAAACCATTCCACCACATATTCTCAGCTTTTTACTTGGATTAAAATAATTCATGTTTTATGCATTTACTGTCTTTCTTTTAAATCATCTAATTATGTTCCTAAATGCTTTAATGAGTATAATATGTTATTTAAATGTTGTAATTTTACCATTTTACAACTATGTATTTTTAGGTTAAATATTAATTTTTAATGTTTTATAATTGTTATAAAATAAAATGTATTATTTTTATATATTTTGATATTTTATATTCTGTCTTTTTTATATTTTATTTAAATCATGCAATTTTTTTTTTCATTTTAGAATTATAAATGTTTGGAATTGTAAATGTTAATTTAAAATAAATAATGAAATATTGTCGTTTTTTTAGAATGTTAAAATATTTTACAATTTATATATATTTTTATAAACTTTTTTTGACACTCCCCAGACACCGGTAGATCCCTTCCCTCCTGCATAGCCCTTTGGTGTCTGGGAGGTCCACGGGGCGATGGTAGTTGGCCCCGAGCCAGAACAGAGAATTAATGGTGGCATCATCCAATGCCGTCGCCACGGCAAGCCCCCAGAATTCCCAGGCGTACTCGAAGAAGGGGAGATCTCGGCGGACTAAGGCAGAGAAACGAGCGGCGATTTCCATGATTTTTCTGTCTTGATCGGGTCTTCTGTCACGCTGCCTACTGTGAAGGAGCGAGGAGACGAAGGAGATTCCAAAATTATCAAACACTTTATTTACAACATAGAAAACCACACGTAGGACACGGGGATCGACGTTCATACAAGTAGACCCGACCAAACCAAACTGAACAGACTGGGGCTTATAAACACAGGGGAATGAGGATAATTATATATACAGTATATATATATCACTGTAAATTATTTTTCAAGGTTTTAAATAAATATTTTTGAAGTACGTTTTACAAGAAAATACTGTTTCAGTTTTTGTACTTCAAAATTTCATGTTTAATTCAATGAATTACTTGCCATTTATTTGTAATTATTTGTGATATTTACTAGCAATTTCCTAGTGAAAGGTGTTTAAATGCCACTTTTACTTCGTATTTAGATTGTAGAAATAAATGTAATAATTGAATAATATTTTATATTAATTCATTTGAACTAATCTAAGCAAAAAGTGCAATTTAAGGGACATAAAGGCAGTTTCATCTGAAAAACAGGGTGCACAAAATATACGTGTGAGATTCTTATATGAAGTCTCTTAATTTGTTAACTTTAACTTTAACAGCTCACTTCGGTCCAGCGCTCTTGAAGCACTCAGATTTCATACTAGAGCTGCTCGTTCACTGCCTAGTGAGTACTCTAAGCCGCAGTTACAGTAATGTTATGATTCAGAGGTCACAGAAGAGCTGTGAATATTGCCCATTTTCCTCCATTAAACGAGGATGAGCCACTGAAGTAAATTGGACATAACCGTCTTAATCATGCCTTTATATGAATCTCACTGCTCTTATAGGTTTTGTTGGCTTATACTGGACATAAATTTATTTCCGGACAGTCCGTTTATGGAGACGAACTGTGCATGAGTAGAGAAATCAAAAACATACCTTTATGAAACAAAAACATATGGGAATATGCTAGAAAATAATATAATACAATGTATTAAATAATACTTTTTTTTTTCAGTGTACTGCAATATATGCATGGACCATATATATTTTTTTTTATTATATATATATATATATATATATATATAATAAAAAATTATATCTAATTCAAAATAATATAAAAAATTATAATAGTCTATCAACAACTTGAAAATAACACTGGTTTGTTGTAACATTTGTTTTAAAAAGCAAAAATGTAATTAAATAAAAGTGAAATAAGAAAATAAATACATGATTTGCAAATAAATACATTCAAAATTCAATACTTAATAAAAAAGATGAATTTGAATATTGTATTTGTTTACCTGCATGTCATGTGAACATGAATCGACATCAGAGAACCAAGAAGATGCCAATGTGTTGTTAAATTATTGAAATATTAACTTTAGATCTCTAGGGGGACTTCAAGAAAATATTTTGGCTCATAGAAGTTCTACAGAAACACTTAACACAAATACAATACGATATGCAAACACAAAGCATGTGGTTTAATTCAGAGTCCCGCTTTTGTGTTGAAAGATCCCATCATCCTTTAGTAAATGCACATTAGCGTAAAAATGAAACTACATTTATGATATCTTGGTTGTGAGATTTTTTTGCAGAGGCGATAGTTATATAATAATCCATGTTTGTGTGTGAATATATACATTAAGTTTCTCCTTGAGATTTGGGGTTCAGTACATCATGAGCTGATCGCGGGACATGGCTTTAATGAGGAGGAAGAGTGAAGTTAAGTATAAATCAGACAAACACCGCAGGCTGATCTCTGTCTAACAGTCTCGAGGTCTGTATAAGTGATCATCAGTCTGCCCTGACGCACACTAACAAGTGAACGACTCGCTGACTTCTGTTCCAAATGGATTTTGTTAGTGTCAGTCGCCTCTGGGAGATTTAGATAATATCATAATCTGATCACATCACTCACACACAGATTCAAATATTACACAGTCTTTCTGTCCTCACAGAAATATTTCAGAAATCAAAAGTCTGTCATTGTATAGAACTCCAAAAATGCCTCATGCAATATATATATATGTGTGTGTGTGTGTGTGTGTGTGT